CTTGCGCGTTTGTTCTCCCGCCCTTCAACCAATGCAGTAGTTTCCGGAGTGTGATTTTTCTTTTCTCCCTTGTATTATTATTTTTTACTCAGTAACGGATATGATTTCAAATGTAGCGAAGTACAATACTTGAAACAAAACGTACTTAAGTAAAAGTAAAAGTACAGATTTTAAAAACTACTTAAAAAAGTAGAAGTACACATAAAAACTACTCAATTACGTAACGCGAGTAAATGTAATTCGTTACTTTCCACCTCTGCAATTTTGACATTGATACAATGGTGAAAAATTGCTAAATAGATATTTGAAATATTATCTCATAATTTGGAAGCAGGAATATTGGGCTGGTGTCACTTTAAGACCTGACACAGATCAGATCCATTATACTGTTACACGTGTTTTCTTTCTCAACTGCTTTTTTTTTTACAACATTATTTTTTGTGTATTTGACTATAAGTGCAATAAGCCAGGGGGAAAAAAGTCAATTTAGTACCGAAAGATGGCTTTATGTCTGAAAAATTTTAATCTGAAAAAAAAAAAAAAAGTATTTGACTTCTGAAGTGCAACACACTATTTGAAATGCACATATTGGTCAAATAATATTCTGGTTTAAATGTAGCCTACTGATATAAACAATTTTATGTGAGAGCAGCTTGGGTTTAGCCAATGTATGATTAAAAAACAATAACGTCCCATTAGTTAACATTAGTACTTATTATTCTTTGTTAACATTAGTTAATAAAAAAAATACTGTTCATTGTTAGTTCATGTTAGCTCAAGTCCATTAAATAATATTAACACATACAACTTTTAACAATTTTAATAATATATATTTTATGTATTACTATATTGTAATTAACATTTTTCGTTGTTAGTTTGTTAACCCAAAAAGGGTTTAATAATTCTGTCACACGCACCAAAAAAAAAAAAAAAAACATCAGAAGAGTGATTGATAAATAAGTAAGCATGAGCTAACTGTTAAAACTATGTTATTTGCTTTGTTTCTTCAAACAGTTGGACTGATGTAAACTTAACACTGGCAGCACAAACTGAAACCAATTTAAGACCATCAATACTAATGTCCCTGAAAAACACATTCACACACTGTGCACCTCATGAAGTCACATCCAGGGTGCGAGGTTCATTAAAAAAACGTGTCAGAGCCTTCACCATGTGTTACTTTCTGTCAGCAGAACTATTAACTAAAATAACACGCATGCACTCACACCTGGGGTTAATTATGGTAATACATAACATACATCACAAACGCAAATACACAAATGTTAATATCAGTTGTTTAACTGAATAAAATGAATGACATTACAAGTCCAGTCAAGCAGATATTTGCATAAGAACACTGATGAACCTCTGATTGGTTCTTTACAGAACTCACAACAGCGCAGTCAGCCAATAACCTGTGAGAGTTGCTATTAAGATGAAATGCCTGACCTCTGATTGGCTGTGTCAGCACCTGAGCTGCGTTAACAGGCATGAATGAAAACTGAGCAGCCAAACACCAAACATATGTCTGGAATGACACTACCAATTGTATTTAAAAGCAACTTGTAGTATATATTTCCTATGTGGAGTGAAGATTTTGCAAGCAAATGCAAAGTTTCTCAGTGGAACGAGTGAACGCAAAAGCATTGACTTTGTCTCGTATTTTTGATGTCTGCCCTAGAAAAATTACCAGCTTCACCCTTTATTCAAATATTATTATAAAATTCTTAAAGATTTTGTGGAGTTGTGCTTGAAGTCAATTGTTTTCTTTGTGATAACGCAATAAAACATAATTATAGTGCTGATATATTTTTTGGCCAGACGAAAAAACGAACAGAAAAACAAGAGAGAACCAACAAAATATTAATAACTGATATGTTGTAGTCAATGTATGCTTTTTCCTGTGAACGTTTTGTTTTTCTATGCATTTATTTAGCATAGTAAAATAAAGTCTGTATCTGTAATTTGCCTTTTGTCAGATAAATACCTTAACCACGTTTAGTGTTTTGTTCTTTTCTCATATGTAAATATTTTTTTTGTATAAATATTAGTAAAAAATAGTAAAAATATATTTTGATGGTTTAATCAAACTTGTAAACAAATACCCCACTCCAGACATACCTTTTGGCAACTACTGGACCCAAGGGACGAAAACTGAACTAAACATCTGAGATCATGTGACAACAATTCAGCATACTGTCAAAAAAAAGGCTATACTAAGTACTGTTTTATATAGTATTTAGTAGGCAGCATATATAGCCACAATGTAGTATAAAATATAGTAAATATGATGCTCGTACAAGTGAAAGAAACAATGAGAGTTCAAAAACCACTCGTCACTGATGGAAAAATTGTGTGTGTGTGTGTGTGTGTGTGTGTGTGTTCTTGTTTTTGAAGGGAGTCAGTGTCCAAACAATATTCAATGTCTCTAACGTCCAGGAGTCAATATAAGTTCAGGAACAGCTGACGCATGTTCAACTGTACTTAACATAGTTTGTTTCTCTTGTCTCGCCATCTCTTTTCTCCATCTCTCATTTTCTACCGTTCTCTCCCAGAGGATCATTACTCAGATGACATTGAGGAAAGTTCTCTATTCCTCTCTGAAAATCAAAACTGAGACAGATTTTCAGGTCATAATCTGGGGGTATCAGCCCAGATGACTGTGAAGTATTATAAGTGTGTGTGTGTGTGTGTGTGGCTGCTGTGCTGTTCCACTGCTTCCCTCAGCACTGAGGAATTTTTGTTGCTACAATGAATGAGCCAATTTGACATCTTTCCACAAACACACTTACACATGTAAAACCATATGTACCATCGCGCACACACACACACACAGATTTCCCTTTTCCAGGGGTGACACATAGCAGCAAGTTCCTGTTTTTTCTGTTTCACGGGATTGTGCAAAACTGCTGAATCCTGGAGGATATGTAAGGAGTTTAAACAGTCAGACAATAATGATTCACTAAATGAGATCTTAATTATATCTGAATGCAGTCCAAGATCTATAAACATCATTTATAAACTATACCCTTTAAATGTTTGGGGTCGGTAAGGTTTTTTAAAAATGTTTTTGAAGTCTCTTATGCTCACCAAGGCTGTTTTTATTTGATCAGAAATACAGTAAAAACAGTAATATTGTGAAATTTTATTACAATTTAAAACAACAGTTGTCGATTTGAATATATTTCAAAATGTAATTTATTCCTGTGTTTAGTCTTCAGTGTCACATGATCCTTCAGAAATCATTCTAATATCAATGTTGAAAACATTTGTGCTGCTTAATATTTTTTTTGTGGACACTGTGATACTTTTTTTCAGGATTGTTTGATGAATAGAACGATTAAAAGTAGGCCTACATCATTTATTTGAAATATAAATCTTTTGTAACATTATATCTTTGCTGTCACTTTTGATAAAATTTTTGCATCCTTGCTGAATAAAAGTATTAAATTCTTTTAAAAAAGTGTAGTGTAGTGTAGATAGAAATAATATATTTGATTAAATAATTCTATGTCATTGATAATACTCTGATTATTTTAATAAAATGAATGTGAATAAAACAGTATATATTTAAATTTGCTAAGAGAATACCTCAAATGAAAATCACTGGTCATTGTGGCATACAAGTAAATCACTGAAAAGACAAAAAAAGTGGGATTCTGACAAAAAACGGGCTATTATCTGTAGTTATTATAATTAAAATGAACATGTAAAATGAACAGCCCTGAGCATCTGTAGCATGATCACACAGAACATTAAAACCATACCAAATCCTTCTCTTCAGCTCTCACTCTCTAAATCCCCGTCCGCCACTTTCCCGCCCTGCTCTCACGTTGACGCATGACTCTTTCCTTTAAGTTCTTACTCTCATTGTTCCCTGTGACCCAAAGCACAATCTTCCTCTTCCACACACTTCCTGCTTCCTGCTTCACAGGAAGTGCTGTGCAGAGCCGTTTCCTCAACTTATTTGGACTAATATATCAGTCTTTCGTTCTCTAACACGCACTTACTCACACATAATGTGGATCAAATAAAAGCTGAAATCCTTTTAATACAGTCTAATGTTGTCTAAATTAGTATTTTGTGCGTGTGAATCAAAACACACACTTCACAAACATTGCACTACAATGTCAATATGTCAGGACTGGAAGCATGAACGCGATGTCTACTAGACCTCTTTTCTGGTCTGGTTTAATCTGATGGTTCAAATCACCGACCCCCATAACTCCCACCCACATCCATTAAACCAGCCTGAAAAGAATAGCTCGCACAAAAATGGAAATGCTGTCATCAATTACTCACTCCTTCAGGTCGGTTTGACTTTCTTTCTTCTGTGGAACACAAAAGAAGAAATTGAGCAGAATCATGGGGACTTCGCGGGGGATGATGTGGTCAAGAAAAAAAGAAGACAAAATAGAATATAATAAAAGAGTCTAAAAGATTTGTACATTATTCTCTGAAGCCTTACAATATAGCTTTGTATAAGAAGCGAAGATTTTTGGAAAGCTGTGTCACACAAAGCGATCGAGTCTCTTTAGAAAATTTGGACTAAACCGCTCAATTCATATGGATTAGTTTTACGATCTCTTTAAAAACTTTTTGAAGCATCACAGTGGTAGTTGCGTAGCTATCAATGGAGGGACAGAAAGCTCTCGGATTTCAACAAAAAACATCTTCATTTGAGTTCGGAAGAACGAAAGTCTTACGGGGTTGGAAGGACATGAGGGTGAGTAAATGATGACAGAATTATCATTTTTGGGTGAACTATCCCTTTAAGGTAACACCTGCACGTTTCATTTTTCATTTTTGGGTAAATAACCCAAGCCTATTCTTCCTATAGCCTAGTTGAAATCACAGGGCCAAACTCTCGCTGCTTCTACAGTTTATCCCAGTGTGTTTGCGGTCTTAGATAGAGACGTGATTACCCGTATTGGGACTTGAAGGGCACGAGGGGAGTGTTTGTGCAGGCCAGAAGGGGTTTATCAGCTCCAAACACTCGCAGGATTTCCGGTTTGGGATTGTCCGTCCAATTCCTGAGTTCCACAGGAAGCGCAGAATAAAAAGCAGGAGAAAAACGCCCAAAAGCATCTCATTCCTCGCCAGTCGGTTCACGGGGAGCATCGAGACGTTGACCACACGCCGCTCTTTATCAGAGAGAAGAAGAGTTTATAAGAAATGCTGGCGATGGAGAAGCGCGTCAGAGCGCGCGACAGGTGGATCGAATGGCCTCGAGCTCAGCGCGAGATCACGTGATTTTATTAACTGGGTGAGTGTGAGGACATTACTTACATTGGCATGGCGATTTTCTTTGGTTACACTTCAGTAATAAGCCATTACACATTATATACAGAGTATTTCACTTACAATAAATTGAGGACATTAAAAATGCTTGACATAATGGACGATGTAAAATAAAAAATGGGGGGAAAATTAAGGTGCAGTGTGTTCTGTCTTTCTGGCAAAATTTTATAATAATGAATTGTAGGCTATATAAATAATGTTTAAATTCACGACAAAACGATCAAGTGTTTCCAGCCTATTTCCATGTAGGCTAGGCCTACTGATTTATTAACAGCAAATTATATTTGGACCAGGATGTGATTTACATTTGAACTACTGCGCGTTAAACAGAGAGGGTTTAGCTTCCATTTCTATTTTTCCCCCTGCGCTCTTAAATGTTTCCCTTTATTTCTGTGTTTTACGTGTGACCCGGTAAACTGAGCCGCTGCGCGTGAATTCCTGCAGCGATGACGTCACGCGGAGCGAGGGAGAGCTCTTGCGTGAGTGTTTCTCTCGGGACGTCCCGGTGAAGGAGGGGCAGTAGTGGTGTGGTTACCCCCCTGCACGCTTTGACAGTTGTGAGGGAACTCAACTGAGTGTGCAAAAAAAAAAAAGAAAAAAAAAAAAGACTCCTAAACACGGAGAGCTGAGCTACGGGAAGCGCGCGCAGGAGTTTCGAGCCAGTGCAAATTTGGGCACATGTGTGTTTTTGGACTATTTATAAAATTATTCCACGTTTGTCCTCAGAGTTTGGTGGGAAACTTCGTTTTTGGGAACCGCTGGGGGACCACTCTCTTTCTTTCCTCTTTTGCATCCACGCACGAGCGGTTAATCTCGTGAACAGGAGTAATCCAGCAGTGAGTCATTGAACAAATATATATTTTAAATAGTTTTTGTAAATTCATGCATGCATCATGCAGTTCATTATAATCTATTTGCTCATGCAACAATTTTGTACAGGTCATTATGTGTGTGTGTATTACTATAATTGTCATTAGATTAGACTGAACTGGATCAACACTGGGATCTGTGAATGGTCGCAAATAATGTTGTATGAAAACAGCGCCGCCTGCTGGTCGATTACCGTTAAAGCGGCCAGACTGCAAACTATACTTAGTACACAGAATAGCATACTATATCTGAATTATTTAACATGCATCAGTGCATAATGTGCATGAAATACTCGGATAACCTACTTATCCAAAATGCTTGATAAGTGTGATGAAGCGAAGGTAATTGCTTTTTTAGGTAATGGAATACTAGTTTACTACTGAATACTGCTCAGTACGTTTTTTTGAAGTGCCAACACTTAAACCCCCCACAGTTTTAAAGTAAATAAATATGCCAAATTTATGATCACTAGACATCACTTACTGAATTGAACATACCGGTAGGCATTTAATTGTAGAAATAACAATGTAGCCAACTACTTTTATAAATGCATCATGATATATTGCACATTGTTTCACATAATACTTTTTAAGCAGTAGTATGCAGTATATACTGCACACTAAGCAGTAAGCATTCCATTCCAAATATAAACACACACACACACACACACTAAAGGCTTGCCCTCCATTAGTCTTAACTGCTTCCGTTTCTAATTAGTGCCATTTTTTCTGATTATATGCAGTGATGTGGATCTAAATGTCAGTGTGTTTATATACAGAGTTTTACATTCATGTTGAGGCTTTTTTGTGGTTTAGCATTTGTGTTTAAATGTACATTTTGCACGTACACAAATGCACTACGCGTTGCTTTGTGATTCAATGATTATTGTTTGGCAGAAAGTGTTGAAAGTTTGCAACACTATAATATTCACCTTTCTCTTATGCTTTTTATCGTCCTTAACCATAACTAATGGATAATTATCTTCATGCAACATCACTAGCAAGTAAACTAAAGTTTATTTTTGATGTGTTACGCACACGGCTGCTCAGAGACTGTGAGTCCGAGATCTGGCAGCGTTTATATAAGACACGTGGCAAGTGTTTACATATGACGGCAATCAGATGAATTGTGAGAGACACACACATATACAGTTTCTGTAACTCATACAGCCTGCAGGTATGGACCTGTAGAAACCATTACGTGTTTGGCAGGAGATCAGTGTGAAAGTCATCCAGAAGTCTTAAACCACTTTACTGCCTCATTGTGGTGTCAGATGTTCTGCGGTGGGTCGTCCGACTCAAACTGCAGACATGTGAAAACACTATCTGACCCACAATCCTTATGTGGAGGTTTCAAAGCTCACCAGCTGCTGTAGAGGCGCTCAGTGCTGTGGAAAGTGTTGTTATCTTAACAAATCCCATTTTAACAACCAAACAAAGTAACAACAGTAACACACATGGAATCGCACATGATTAGCCAGTTGCGCGCACGCGCACCTCAGTACTGGCAGGAACATCAATTCATTTCAGTTGAATTTCTGTGAGAATGTTGCTAAGCTAACACCACAATGCTCAAACAAGCATTAAATGCAGGGTATGATTTGTTCCAGAAACATTTTTTGTTATGCTGGTTGAAAGTGTCCACATCCTTATAGCAATCACTAAGTTATGGTCTAAAAGTATTTTATATATCGTCTGTGGAAGGCGTAGGACCATAAAATGTTTGTCCAATCATTGAATTCGGTCCGAATGCAATGATACGATGTCCTACCTGCCTGTCAGCGTATGTCTCGCGCAGACATCACGCGTCACTAGCGCGTTTCATGCTATGCAGAGTTAGACAGACGTCAGTCAGCGAGCAGCGCAACCGAAACAGCAGACGCCTGTTACAGTTCCTCCTGAACCAAAACCAGCAGCTTATGCTGCGTTCACACCATAACTACTGTCATTTGGAAGAGATTAAATGCAATTAGTTGAACTTAATAATGTTTTTTTGGCATATAAGAAGGACTTAAAGGGATAGTTCACCCAAAAATGAAAATTAGCCTGTGATTTACTCACCCTCAAGTCATCCTATGTATATGACATTCTTCTTTCAGACGAATACAATCTGAGTTATATTAAAAAATGTCCTGGAAAAAAAATATATTAAAAAGTCGATGCGTACGGCCGTTTGCCGGAAGCTAGTTATTTTAGTCGATTTAAAGTTTTAAATATGAATATTTTTGTTACACGAGCGCTTCACTTTAGAAGGCCTTTATTAACCCCCAGAGCCGCGTGGAGCACTTTTATCAGGAATGGATGCGCTTTGAAGGACTTCCACTTTACTCCAATTATAAAGCTTGGAAGTCTGAAAGAAGAATGTCATATACACCTATGGCTTCAGGGTGAGTAAATCACGGGCTAATTTTCATTTTTGGGTGAACAATCCCTTTTAGTACACCTTTATTCGTAATTTCATAATTAATTATATTGTCTTTAAAATGTGGTTAGAGACAAATATCCTGGGAAACTAAAATTGTATGTAATTTATATGGAAACTTATATGTCATGTATTTAAATATGTTTGACAGTATCTTTTTTTAAAATCCAAAAATATACTCACTAAGTTTTGCTCGCTAACTTGCTCAGTCACTGAAGTAAATTAAAAAAACGAAAACATTTAGTAGCAGATCCAGATTTTACCAGCCCTACACATGCACACAGGTCAAAATCATTAAGCATAGATCAGGGGTAAAATGGGTCATTAATCTCCAGAAAATATGACAGACCTTGTTTAAAGTGCTTCTTACACACACACACACACACACACACACACACACACACACACACACACACACACACACACACACACACACACACACACACACACACACACACACATGCACACTCATATCCACAGCCTCTTGTTTCACTATTAATGAGGAGGACATTGCATAGACTTCCACTGATTTTATAACAGGTTAATGATGATATTTCCTATGGCCTAACCCAAGTAAAAGCCCCTAGATTTCAATAAAGACATGTTTTGGCTGATTTATAAGCCTTTTTAACTAGTGAGGACCAGTAAAATGTCCTCACTTGTCGGTTGTCATAATGTTTCACTATATAGGTGAGGAAATTTGGCTCTCTCATTTATAGCCACACACACACACACACACACACACACACACAGGTGTGGTATAATAGCTGTTGTCAAAAGCTCTCTAGGGAAAACTGAGACCTGTTTTACACCGCGCTTTAAACCTGAACTCATTAAACCAGCCATAACCTAATGATTACTGTAAGCTGTTCAAGATGAGAGAACACACGTGTGTGTGTGTGTGTACATGTGCATACAAGTTAAAATTTTACTTCAAGAAGAGAAATGACTTTTAATATAGTTGACTTTGCATAGTCTCGTGTTCATCTGAAGCAGAGGTTCATGCGTGTGTGTGGCGGGACCGACGACATGCTAAATGCTGTTTCAGTAATCGAAGCCATGTTTTTAATAACATGTTCTTATTAAAGTTATATTTAAAACCTGTATAACCTGAAATCTCCATGTTACAGATGGTAACACATAAATGTATCTTCATAACACCCAGATGAAAATGAAACCACTTTAGCTGCGTTATGAGTTATGATCTGATTTTAGCACTGTTATAAAGCATGCGAATGTGTGTGTGTACTTATGAAAACACACATTTCTTAGAACCATGTTTGATTCAATCAGCTGTGATTTGTAACAAATGCACTTCTTAATGATGATTAATTTTCTCTAAGTTTCTGCCTTTAAAAGTGCATTAACTCTCTCATGTTTAAACATGAGAGTTATTCTTAATGCTATTCTTTTTTTTTATTCTTAATGTCTGTTCTGTGTGTTGTCTGTACAGTATGATGGGATCCAGCTGTTCAGTAAGGAAGTATAGCAGAAATAACATTTCATAAAGACTAGTTCAGTGCTCTCTGGGCAAAGATCTTGGATCTGGTAGTACTCTGATGGGGCCATTTTCAACTTAAAGGAGGAACCTTTTTTTTTTTTTTTTTATAATCAGAACAAGGTACATAGAAAGTATTCAGTGGCAAAAACACTTCTAAAGGCATTCCTTTTTACTTTTCCTACCCAAATTCCCATCCCAACACAACAACCCCAAATGCCAGGGAAAAATAAATACACTCTAAAAAATGCTGGGTTGTTTCAACCCAAATTTGGGTCAAATACGGACAAACCCAAATGTTGGGTTAAAAATGTAATAAAAAAAATTAAAGTTGAAAGTGAAAGTTGAAGTTGGGTTAAAATTTTAAATTACATTTTTAACCCAACATTTGGGTTTGTCCATATTTGACCCAAATTTGGGTTGAAACAACCCAGCATTTTTTTAGAGTGTAACACATTAATAATATTATTATATAATATATATATTACAGGTATTTCTCAAGTTACTTTAAAGAGGGTACATTCTTCTTAAAATAGATTATTAAAGCGTCCAATGTTTTATCTAAAAAACGCTATTTTTTTATTATTACTAAAGGAGGTGAATTCTGGAATCCACTGGCGTGAAAAAAAAAAAAAAAAAAAAAAAAAAAATATATATATATATATATATATATATATATATATATATATATATCCTTTTCAGTGATTTGTAATGAGTGTCATCTTTTGAAAGCAAAACATCTGCTTCTGTCTTTCAAAATGTCAACACCAATTATCGCGCCTACATTGTTTTCACCAACCCAGAATTCAGTCCAATAAACATTATCAGCATTTGCAAAAGTGAGAAAGTTTGCCATTTAAACCTTCTATATACAAGGAATCGAATGGTTTTAAGAGGAAAATTTGTGCTAAATACTGTTGCCCCTGTATCGATCATCATATACTATTGTTATTATTACTGTATATTATTTTAAATGTATTATTATAGATTGGTTATAGATTACTATTGTATAAGACATTTACTGTTTTCTCTCTCTCTCAGGTAGCTGATTGACCTGGGTGTACCTGAGGGGGACAGACACTCCCGAAAGTCTCTCTTCCTGCTGTCAGACACACCTGAGAGAGAGTGACAGATAGACGGAGAGAGAGAGAGAGAGAGAGATGTACACAGCGGTCCTGCTCTCCTCTTCTCTGTTTCTCCTGCATGTGACCTGCACGCCTCAGATTCATGGTCACCACGGGTAATGGCTCACATAAATACACACACAGTAGTGACTGTACGCTTCGTCCGAAATTGTATATAGTATGTGAAAAACAGTACGCGTAAAGAGTAGTATTCGAAAAAGAGTAGGTGAAAAGTGCCCGGATGACCTACTTCTTCTGGCGAGATTCTGAAGTGCGCATTCGCTGACACTTTCCCATGAGGCCACGGGAGAGGATTTATGAATGGCAGTGAAGTATGTATCATAACTGACGCTGGTAGGTCACATGACAGTTATAGCAAATGTAGTAGGCCTATACGTCCGATTTCCATTCATACTAGCCATATTCATATTATATAGAACTTTAAGATACTTTTTTAATGGTCGTGGAGTAAATTCAAATGTAGTACCTACCTACTCACATGCAGCGGTAGTGTCAGGAAGTGTCAATGGGCTCTTGGGCCTCATGGGGTCATGGGTCACTATAAGGTTAAAGGTCAACGCATATAATAGCAGCTAATTACATCAATCAGCCACGTCCCGTTAGAACTGATGGACAGCAAGCTTTTGATACACAAACGACAATATAATGTCTTTCCAAGCATTATATTTAACACACACTTTTAAATGCTTATTGTAATATAATATAATTAAATGCATATTTTTTTTATTCAGCAAGTACTCATTTATTTGACAGTAAAGGTATTTATAATGTCGCAAAATATTTTTTTTTTGTTGATAAAGATGTATCAGTTTCCACAAAACTATTAAGCAGACTAACTGTTTTCAACATTGATAATAATAAATGTTTCAGCAAATCAGCATATTAGAATGATTTCTGGAGGATCATGTGACACTGAAAACTGGATTTTAAATTGTAATATAAACTTTTTTTTTTTTACTCTATTTTGATCAAATAAATACGGAGCCCCCTTAGTCCCACTTTGTCAAAAAAATGTATTATAACTATCTCGTGGCCTCAAGATAAGTAACTCGTGGCCTCAAGATAGAGAAACTATCTTGAGGCCACGAGATAGTTATAATACATTTTTTTGACAAAGTGGGACTAGGGGGGCTCCGTAGAAGAGACTTTGAACGGTAATGTAAATATAAGCGATATTTGTGTGTAGGAGTGTGTTTGTTTATAACTGTGTGTCTGCGTGTGTTTCAGAAGGAGAGTGTGTGTTGGAGACGCGTGGAGTCGTCGTGTGTCCTACAGCACAGAGTCGTTCCTTCAGCCTGTACACAAACCCTACATCACCATGTGCCAAAACCACCGCATGTGTAGCACATACAAGTAAGATCACACAACAACACAAGAAATATACATTACACTGCATAAAGTATCAGCAGTTCACTAGACTATGTGTTTCACAGGACGATCTACAGGGTTTCTTACAGACAGGTGAGCAGAGCGGCTCCAAATGTACACATTTACCCAGAATGCTGTCCGGGGTGGCGACGCATACATTCACACAACTGTAACCAAGGTAACCGGAGGTCCAAAAGTCATATTGGTTAACGTTAGCTCTGAATGGGTTTTCACATTTGAATTCATAAATGCATATGTGTGTGTATTTCCATCTGTAGCGGTGTGTGAGAAGACCTGTGTAAATGGAGGGTCATGTATAAGGCCTAATCACTGTTCATGTCCGAGAGGATGGACAGGACGATACTGTCAAATAGGTACTCACAAACACACACTAACATTCATTTACTGTTATGTTCATGGTGCATGCTTTATAAAATGAGTTGCATGCACAAAGAATGGCATGCTTTGTGAGTAGGGATGCACAATATATCGGTATCGGCCGAAATATGGTCGTTTTTTAATGTTATTGTTATCAGTCAATGTATTAAAGCTGATAAATAATGTCTTATTTCCTTCAGCTGAGACATTCTAGATGCGCACTGTTCGCCATGATGGTTTTGAATTGCTGGAATTATGATTGGAATCACTTAAAACAAGGAAAATACAGTTAAGAGCAACATGTGCAGCGCAACTCTGTCATAGGCTATATAAAATTATAATGAGAACATTATAATTGTGTGCTTGGGACATGCCTGCTTTTAATGGTGAGACTTTTGTTTTGTAATGAGGCTCTCAAAAATGACATAAAAATTTGGATTTAGATTTATCGGCCTATATATTGGTTATTAGCTTTCAAACATAAAGAATAATCGGTATCGGCCGACATTTTCAAATCGGTGCATCCCTAATTGTGAGCCGTATATACATATAACACCTAAGGGTTTATATATGTGTGTATACATATATATATATGTGTGTGTGTGCTTGTGTGTGCGCGTGTGTGTGTGTATGTGTTTTATATTTACATAATTTTTTATATTATTTTATTTTTAATAGAGAGCAAGGGAAGTCCTGTTTTCCTGTTTTTATATAAATATTAGGGCTGGGCAAGTTAACGCGTTATTATCGCGTTAACGCATTTATTAATTAATGCCGACAATTTTTTTATCGCACGTTAACGCAGTTTTTTTATTTTTTTTATTTTGAAAGTCCGTTGCACACTGGCTCTAAATAGGACATAGGCCTAGAGTCAAACCATGGATCACAGGAGGGGTGGGATGTTGGTCAGCCAGCAAATAACCCACCCAAACCAGCTGCAGTGGAGAGGCTTTGGCAGGTGAACAGAAAGGGAGACAGCGCTCCGCGAGTGAATGACAGGCGCTCTATGGATAGTAACCATAGCAACGGCTTCTGTGCGCAACGAAGCTGTAGTCTTTTTAACTTAAATTAAAATTATACATAACTTTACCTGATGTGCCTGCGTGTAGTTTAGCGGGGATGCTCTGTAATGTGAATTCCCTTCTGTTGATGTCCTGATAACTATTTAAATATTGGAAACTCAAACAGCGAGCCGAGGATCAGTCTCTCTTCCAATGATTTGTACTGCGCGTCGTGTACAAAAAGTTATAGACAATCAAAATCCTTTTAGACAATTCAACTTCGGCAACGGGCGGGCGCGTGCGTGAGGCGAGCGCGTGAGGCGAGCATGAGCGCAACAGTTTCACAGAACGCACCCGCTTGTCGCTGCACCTTGTGCTCGACCAATTCACCTCACTCTAAAAGGCTGATACTTCTGTGTCGCTATACACTACGCGTTGGTTGGTTTTACTTCTGCGTCGTTGTCCGCGTTGACGCGCAATTACACATGCAGAGGGAGCATGTGAAACCCGTGGAGCGGTTCTAGCAATCACAGCGCTTGCGGTGCGCGTAGAATTGACGCGTCGTTAAATTTTTGGAGAGGTGCACGTCAGGGTACGACGTAAGTTCGACGCAGAAGTATAAATTGGGCTTTACCTCTGTTTAATGCGATCTTAGTGTACGTGCGAAACCATGGCATGACCAAACCTAAGCTACTATCAGAGAAGTAACGTTGGTCGACTTATATCTCATGACCTCTGACATAGACTGTTTCTGCTGCTAAAAGACACCTGTTGATACCTGTTAAGAAAAAAACCAAGAAAACTGGACTCGTTTTAACAAGCTAGATAAAAGGTAATGCCCTGGCAGTGGCAAATAGCTTTGTTTTAATATTTGATTTGATTACATTAATGTTTAAGTTGAGATTTACAATAAATATTTTATTGCTGTGTAAAGGGAATACTGCTGGTAAAAGCACCTTATTTGTTTAAAGTTTTTGCAAACCACATGTTATTACACTTTTGTGTATATAGCAGTACATTTAAATCAAAAGTGAGTAATAGACTACTTTAGAATTCATTATTAAAGTTTGCGCGTAACAATGCGATTAATCGCGATTAATCGCAAGAAAATCATGCGATTAATCACGATTAAAATTTTTAATCGTTGCCCAGCACTAATAAATATAAATATAATTATGGGTGGAAAGTAGTTGCTTCGTACACTTATTTTAAAGGGCTCATGAAAAACCATTTCACTGCTCCTTAAAATGATATTTTTTTAATATATTCGTAAATTAGTTTAAGGGTGGAAAGTGGTCATGAGATACTAACAATATAAATGGGCTTTAGGGGAAAAAGAGTGGTTCTTTTAAAAGACATCTTTCTCTCTCAGATGTGGATGAGTGTAAGGAAGGTCAGCGCTGCTCACAGAAGTGTGTAAATACGCTGGGGAGTTATCGGTGTGTGTGTGAGGAGGGATTCAGTCTGGCTGAAGATGAAATAACGTGTTCAAGAAGTCGTCCCCCCTCCCCCCCGCCCATCGCTCCTCCAAAACCCGACGATCGCTCATCCAGTAGCGACGCTGGTAAGACATATATACATTATAATCAGCCGCAGACATACTGATAGATATTCATCATCAGCACTCAAGATACAAGAACCATGAATCTCCATACACACGCACATACATGATGACACCAGGACAAACCGCACACACTACTATATCTTACAATTGCATTGGAATACCACAGATCCCTGTTCGCATCCATCTAAATTCAGTATTAATTATAAGTTCATACATTTATAAACTGTGGCAGTTTTGGTCTCACATTCCTGTCCACTTTTCTGCAACTGAAAATGTGGGAAGAGAACGGTCTCAGATTCCCCATTTCCATTGCACAAGGGGTTGTGGGCAATATTAACCAAAAAAGCATGCACATACTTCACAAATCCACTAGAAAAACCCGGCACTTTTGGCACACTGCTTGCAAAAATACAATGAATAGAGACACATTTATTCTAAACTCGCATACTATTTAGGAAGAATAGTACAGAAAAGCATTTCGAAAATAAAACAAGTAATGGGCTTAAGTGGTAATGCAATTACAGTGTGTGAAAATATGTCATAATAGGTAAGTGTGGGCAGTGTATAAGTGTGTTTCCTCTCTAGCGCCCCCTGCAGGTGGAACTCTGACCAGCCTCACGGTTCATTATTACTTTTGGTACGCGCTATGCCACTCTCAACTCGTACCGTGAGTAATAGTGCACTGTGACTGGTGACCACAGCGACCACAAACTCCGTCTGCCTCCAAACAGCAGGAACAGACCACCTGAACAGCCAGCTTCTTCAGCGGGGACACACGGCTTCTTCAAAATACAGGCCCTGCATGGCTGCAAGCTCTCATTGACTTTCTTTGTTAAGAGCATAATATCACTCCAAAGATATGTTTAACAGATATTGACAATAAGGAGTTTTTCAGATTTTTACCTACCTTTTTTATAAATAATATATATATATATTTTAATGTCATTTATATTTTTAGTTTTAATGAATTATAAATATTTTAATAAAATTAAAAATTATTAAATTATTCAAAAAATATAATGTAACTCTATGACAACTAAACTAGTTTATTTATAAACGAAACATTACTGATTTGCTTATAATTTCCAATCTAGTGACTCTCTTGTAGTGTTATTTTTGTATTATTTATATACTATTGTTGTTTTGTTTTGTAATATTTCTGGATTAGCTTTTATTTTATATAGGCTATTTCACTTTTCATTTAAGTTTAAATTCGAGTCATTTTGTTATTGTGCTTTTGTCATTTTTATTTACTTTTGGGCTTTTTAAATATTACCATCTAAGATTAAATGATTTCTTATTTTAAGTTTTAGTTGATTTTTTTTTCATTATTTTTTTTTCACAAGAAGTTTTTCATGTAATATTTATATTTTATTTTATTTCAGCTTTTTCAGTTAACCAAAAATTTTTTTTAATAGTTTTAATGGTATAAAATAATGCTGTTTTTGCACCAGCGATAACGGAATTAAAGTCAAAGTCCCTTTAATCAAGTCATTTCACTCACAGCCAAAATTACCAAAGCTGTTCTTCAAACTTACGATTAAATTTGATATTTGAAATCACACATTAAATCTGACCACAACTGTCTAATAAATTTGGTTTCTAAATGCTCAAATCATGACAAAAAACTGCATTTTTCAGGCCGGAGCTGTCAATGCGCCACTGATGCAACTTTACCGATTGCCGATTGGCTCTTTTATTTTGAAGGCGGGATTTATTCCTCCATATTGCGAGTTGCACTTTCTCTATTCATATTAAAATGAGTGCACTGTCTTTGTACAGTATATCTAAAGCCTTTGTTAAAGTTTGAGTTCTTTAGTGAAGTCCCTATGAGAAGCTGAACATTATACTCTCCCCTTGTCTGTCTGTCTCAATATTATGCCAAAACTATGTTGTGCCTTTAAGCCTGTTGGCAGCGCTCCTCTCACTCCTCTCTTCTGTTTTCTTTCCCTGAACTATTTCATATCTGTCTGCGATTTAAAAATAACAGCATGAACAGAATCTCCTCTGGCCCTAAATAGTCATGTTCGCTGTTTCCTAGCGACAGTTTAAAATAATCGCCACGTTCTGATTGTTGGCTGGAGCTCAAACACGCATTCCTGGAGTTTGCTTACTAGAAAGTACAAGAGAGTAGAACATTTTCAAATCTCAGCAGTAATGTATGAATCCAGGCAGTTGAAAGCTATAGCAAGGCAATCTAAATGTTGATAAGCTTGTTTCTATAGGACATGCTTAGTTTCTTTATTCATTTTTAGATATCAAAGGAAACCTATTTCAAAGTAAACCTTTAAGTGACCCCACACACTAGTTTCTCTGTTCCCACACTAGTCAGACCTCAGTGTTGTTGAGTTTGACCCTGTGCCACATCTGTCTGGTGGGACGTCCCCTGAGACTCGAGGTGCAGAAGCTCAGTTTACTCTAAACCTGTCATCAGCCTCACTGACCAGCAAGAGTAGTTCCCTTACACACATGTACCGTAGTAAACAGTTTACACCAAATATCTCACTTGCTACAGTTACTGTTGCTACAGTAGAAAATAAATAAATAATTATTATTATTTTTTAAACTAATTATTATAATTTAAACTAATTATGGCTTAAACTACTACTAATAATTAGTATAAATATTAATTATTTAAACTATAATAATTTGAGATGTCTTTTAAAGTGTAAGCATTATTTTTTCAGTCTTACAGACCAGCAAGAGTAATTCCTTACACAAACATTTAGCATAACCACAGTTTATGTTATTTGCTACTGTTAAAAATAATTAAATTAAAACAAGATTATTGTAAAAAAATACTAAAAAATATTAATTGTTTAAAATATTTTTTTTTAATTAAATGAGATGTCTTTCAGACAGTGTAAGCTTTAAAAAAAAAAATATATATATATATATATATATATAAATTTGTCATCAGTCTTACTGACCAGCAAGAAGTTTCCTTACAAACATTTACACTAAATGCTATTAGCCAGTTACTGTTACTACAGTAAAAAATAATCAAAAGTAAATAAATTAATAACAAATAAAATTAATGTAAAAATGCATAACATTCATTTAGTAAAAATATTTATTTAAAGTATTTAATAAAAAGCTTTTTAAAGTTTTTTTATGACAGTGATAGCTAATACCAGATGATTACAGCTTTCTGTAGTATCAAAAACAATCTGTTACTTATGATATTATTCAAGGTTGAATTGCTTATTCCGCAGCTCATTCAGAGTGTGCATGTCAATCGTCAACTATCATTTTAAAAAGTCATGTTTTTCTTGCATTAACCGGTTTTTAGTTTTTCATCTATTGTTGTGCATTTCTACGTTTTGATGATTTAGCATATTTTTGCTTTTTCTTTACTTAAAAAAAAAAAAAGACATACTTTCCCTTTAAGTAAAATGTTTCATCATTTTATTTAAGTCTAAAGGATCAGAGAAAGACAGACATGGAGAGCGAGAGAGCCCTAATCTCTTAAATGTCATTTTGACCTCAACTATTGTACAAATACTTTGTTGAGTTTATGGGGCCCAAAGTCCCTGAAACCTTGAGTTTGAAACTCCATTAGTGTCATCAGATAGAAGAACAGGAAGCTGAATGTTTAGCTGTATGATGATGGTGATTTTGCTTTTAAAGAGGCCACTGCCGGACACGATTTGTAGCTGCTGTTCCCGTTTTCGTTTTGGCTCAATCCGTAGCTCGCATTCCATATCTATCAAACTCAGACTGCTGGGGGTCACTGTTTTCCCTCACACAAATCTTCTCTCGCTCGCTCTTTCTCTCTCTCTCTCTCTCTCTCTCTCTCTCTCTCTCTCTCTCTCTCTCTCTCTCTCTCTCTCTCTCTCTCCTCTCTCTCTCTCTCTCTCTCTCTCTCTCTCTCTCTCTCTCTCTCTCTCCTCTCTTCCCTCTCTCTCTCTCTCTCTCTCTCTCTCTCTCTCTCTCTCTCTCTCTCTCTCTCTCTCTCTCCTCTCTCTCTCTCTCACGTGTCTTCATAACACACACATCTGGGACAGATTGACTGAGCTTCAGTGTGCGTCTGTGGAAGCAGCCAAATCAAACGCTGAGGAAAAAGAATATGTGTGTGCGCGACCCATTGACTAGTTTAAGACTGACAGAGCTCATAACCTAAAACATTCAGAACAACAGCCAACGGGCGGGACTTACTGGGCTGAGCTCTGATATGATTGGGTCTTAATCACGTCCATTTACAAAACAACCAATCACAGTCACAGTTATCTCTTACTGAAGCTTGTGATTTTAAATATGACCTGATTTCATGTAGTGTGGAGCGCAAAAGTCTCAAAACACTGGGATTTCTTCATTTTAACCTGGACAATGAACAGTTGTAGTTTAAAAATAATACTAATTGTAAGCAAAGAGCTCTGATGTAACATGAAGAAATGTTTTCTTTCTAGCTCTTTCTAGGTCACAATAAACCAAATAGTGACATGTGACTCTTTGCAAAAGCTGTGTTCATGCTCTTTTGGGACACAATCATGCTGAAAGATTATGATTATGACAGTGCTGCTGTCATTAAAGCAAACGGGGACATACAAATAGCAAAATAAGTCAATAAACAAAAATAAATAATGTGTTATTAAAAACAAATAAACAGCCAATAAATCAAACACATCATTTATTTAATGAATAATTTAATAAATAAAACACATTATTTACAGCAAACAGCAAATAAATAATTTTAAATAAGTTAATAAAATAAACGAATAAATAAATAAATGGTAAATAAATAAAATACATAATTTATTTATTTATTAATCAATAAAAAATAAAATGCTTAAATTCAAATACATTTTTAAGTTAAAAGTTTTACTCAAACTGCATAATATATAATATAATTTGAAGAAACACACACACACAAACACATATATATATATATATATATATATATATATATTGTATTAAATTGAAAAACAAAGAACAAGAATTTTCTCTAGTTGTCTCAGACTTTTGGACTCGAGTGGATATCAAAGTATTTGCATCATATTCTTGCCAAACCTCAAACTTTCCTCCTTTTGTCGCCCCCTACACTCATTCTCTTTCTGTTTCTATTTCTGTCTGTCTTTCTATTCTTCTGTGATCTTTGGTCTGCTCTGGGAGCGCTTTGGATATTAATTCATGCAATCAGAGAACATGCACAAATGTAACGTAAAACATTGCTTTTGGAAGTCTTACAAAAGTCAGTTTGTGTGTTTGCATGTTGTCTGAATAAAAGCGTTATTTATATTCAAAGCCTGGATCTAAAAAGATCAAAAATAGAGATGTGCACTGCGTTCTGGGTTTTAATGAAGGCTGAATGTCAGTGTGTGTGTGTGTGGTCCGTCTCTAATTTATGTATTTCTTTTGTTCTTAAAGGTGGAGGTTTTGTATTGGTGGAGAACGTTACCGAAGAAGTTCAAATGCTTAAAAACAGAGTGGAGCTCCTTGAGCAGGTCAGAAACACACACACACACACACACACACACACACACCCTCAGGACACATCCTACTTCAAACGACAGGAAACTGTAGCACGTTTTGCCAAGAGAGGTTACTGGTTCAAAGCCTTGCTAATGGTTTAATTAAAAGCAGTAGTCAACCTCACACATCACAGGTTCTGAAACAACACAGACACAGGTTTAACCATCTTTGTTCGTCAGGAAAAGAGCGTGTTTGGCAGATATTTCTAGTAGATAATAGTTTGTTTGTTTTCAGTCAATGCCACAGGAACAGGAGGTATTACATAGTCACATTATTAATAACATTAGTTGGCAAAAAACAGTTTTTCAGCACTTCCAAAAGGTTTATGTACAATTTAAAGTTATTGAACATGTTAATAAATAAGTTAGCCCTCATTAACCTCGCTCAATTAAGATATAAACAAAACAATATTCACATACTCTTAGAGTATGTACTGTAAAACACTAACATTTAAATGTAATAACAGTATGTGATGAAGGGTATGCATTATGTAAGGATAAAACAGTAGTTTAAACTGCATATTAAATTTCATATTCATCATTAGGTGACAAGCAGTTTTTCTATATTATATTTTATAATAACATATTTTGATAATAAAATAAAGACTAGATCTGCTACAGTACGCATGAGTGTAGACATGAACATACTGTGAATATGAAGGGTGAATAATGAATGGGTAACGAGATGCTGCAAGGAAAGTTGGGGAACCTCTCACAGATTTAGGCAGGTGGAGCTGGGGAAGGAGGAGGGCGAGGGAAATCCTCATGGTTGCAATGCAGTTGAGCCGGTTCGGGACGGAAATAAAAAAGGTTATGTAGATAGAACAAACAGATCGATTGGCTCGATCGTCAGCTGCTCGGAAGAGTTTCATGACTGAACTATATATTCAGAAAAAAAATAAGTGTCTTTAAATGTAAGAATACCTTCCTCTCTCTCTTTGTAGAAACTAGAGATGGTTCTGGCTCCCTTCACCACGCTCTTCCCGTTGGATGGTGTGGGAGACGGTAACAGCTTCCTGTCCGAGAGGACCAACTTCCTGTCGCATTCTCTGCAGCAACTAGACCGTATCGACTCGCTCAGCGAGCAGGTCGGGTTCCTGGAGGAGCGTATCGGAGCCTGTAAGCATATATGTGTGTGTGTGAAACTTATCTGTACAACCTGTTTCAATAGATACAATAACAAAAACATCTTATGTGTGTCTTTATCAGGTGCCTGCCAGGAAAACTAGACGATCACTCAAAGATGGGCTGGATCCAAGTGAAACCAATATCTGATGTCTAAATGAACAACTGCAGCACTGATCTAAGGGTCTGAAGCATGTAAACATGTATCCACTTAAAGAGCATGTAGGGAAGCGCAATGGCAAGCAAAAAATTCTCTCGAGTTTTATGGTGGATGACCGGGTGCTTTGATTGTTTCGTAATGTTTTTCCACGTATTTCTCTCATTTAATCTTGGTGTAAGTGCAGCTGTATAGGTCTCTCCATGTGTAGGTTTGGGTCAGGAGATATGTAAATTTATATATTTATAATTCCATGTTCTTCTCCTGAGTATTTCTATTGGGAAAAAAAACTACTTTTTTATTTTTTATATATATTATTTTTATGTTTACATTTTTTTTTTTTAAATAAAATTGCTTAAACATTGAATGTTTCTAGTTTGTTGTTCACACAGTTTACAATTTGTTTTTGTTTTTTTACTTTATATAGTTTGGATTTTTTCTTTTTTTTTTTATATGGAGCTACAATAGTCTCAAAATTAATGACAACATTTTACACAATATGCAAACAGTATTTCAAAAACACAATTAGGTTATATATATATATATATGTAGCAAAGTTGGTTATTGTGGGAAGAAGGAGGCGGGAACCGGCGAACATTCACAGACTTAAATAAAACAACGAACACATACAAAACGAAAGTAAGACAGCAGCCCCTCACGGACGACTGGTGTCACATAATAAAACAAAACATAAATCCAGGCCTGTTCCTCTCTCGACCTTCACTGTCGTCGCTCCTCCTTTATGCTTCCGCTCCTCCGTGAGAGATACGAGACCAATGCGTCGCGCAGGGGTCGCTCATTATCATTATCAATCACGCCACCAGCCTCGTCCTGCACGCCACAATATATATGTGTGTGTGTGTGTGTGTGTATATATATATATATATGAAAAAATATATACTTTTTTTTTTGTAAATATGAATTTAGCATTTGTTAATCATATTTTGTAAGTACGTAAAACTTTTTAAGTGAATTAGCTTACACTTTTTGGAATCACATTTTGTAAATGCATTAATTTTGAGACCATTTTAGCTTCATACTTTACGTGCATTTCGGAACATCCTCAACTGGAAAATGATTTACTATATATAGAATATATATTGTTCAATATAAAAAGCATGTCTATGTAAAGTCCCCATAAAACATGGAAACCTGTGTGTGAAACGATAAAGAAAAACAAATAAAAAGATACACACACAGATGACATCAAGAACAAAATCCTAACATTTATATTGGAAAAACAGACGATTTTATTAACTCTTTGTCCTAGATGCTCTTAACACAGTTCGCATCCAGATTCTACCACAATCAACATTTTTTTATATATATAATCATCGTCTTATATGACTTTACAGATTTTACAATGGGCTTTAGCTCATTTGTGTGTCTGGTCACCATACAAACACATTCAGCACACACAATGGACCACACACACACACACACATTCATACATACACACACGTACACAAGGCTGCCCGTGAAATGTCCGACAGGTTCGTCTAACGGATCTTAGAATCAGAGCTTTACAAGCTTCCCCTGTTATACATCCTTAATAGCTTTGGTGAAAATCACACAACACCTTGTACACACTTTCGTACATTGATTCGTGTACGCGGCGCGGTTTTCAGTC